TTCTCTCTTTGGTTAGTTTCCATCCATTGCTTCTTGTCCTGCCTTCAGGCACTTTGGAGAATAGCTTGACCCCCCTCTTCTTTCGGGCAACCCCTGAGATACTGGAAGACTGCTATCAGGTCACCCCTGGTTCTTCTCTTCATTAAACTAGACCAGTGGTGGTGAACCTATGGCACGTGTACCAGAGGCGGCACTCAGAGCCCTCTATGTGGGTACGCACTCTGTCGCCCCACCCCTGCCACCCACCATGGCCCTCTCCTCACCAGTAGCCCCCTCGGAGGAGAGTTGCCCTGGGCACAGCCTATGCAGAGCAACGCAGCCAAGGACATGGCAGCCAGGAAGTGGGAACAAGACTCCGCCCTCACGCCCCATCGCATGCAGATGATGCTGCAGGGTGCGGACTGAAGGCATGGCCGCCATGATGCTGCTGGGCTGCCTGGGCAATCTGATGTGGTGGGATGTGGAGGCGGTGGGTGGACCCTGTGGGCAGGAGAGGCAGGGACGGGGCAGGGGTGAGGCGGTTTGGGGGCACTCGGTCTCTAAAAGGTTCGCCATCACTGAACTAGACATACCCAATTCCAGCAACCATTCCTTGTATGTTTTAGCCTCCAGTCCCCTGATCATCTTTGTTGCTCTTCTCTGCACTCTTTCTAGAGTCTCAACCTCTTTTTTACATCGTGGGGACCAAAACTGGATGCAGGATTCCAAGTGTGGCCGTTCAAAGTTACAATGGCACAGAAAAAAATTGAAATTAACAGAATAACAGAAGAGTTGGAAGGGACCTTGGAGATCATCTAGTCCAACCCCCTGTTCAGGCAGGAAACTCTACACCAGCGGTTCTCAACCTGTGGGTCGCGACCCCATTTGGGGTCGAACGACCATTTCACGGGGGTCGCCAAACAACGCGATCCGCAATTTTTTTTCTCAGCCGGCAGAGGGGGCGGCACTGCGCATGTGCGCCGCACAGGGGGGGGTGCAGGGGGGCGACGGCTCATATGCGTGCCGAGCGGGGGGGCGCAGGGGGGCGCCACTGCGCATGAGCACCACGCATGGGGCGGCACCGCACATGAGCACCACACATGGGGCGGCACATGGGGTGGCGCCGTGCATGCGCGCCACACAGGGGAGGGCGCCGTGCATGTGTGCCACGCAGGGGGATGGCACCGCGCATGTGTGCCACGCAGGGGGTGGCACCGCGCATGTGTGCCACGCAGGAGGCGGCGCCGCACATGCGCGCCACCTGCTCATGACCGGGGTCACTGGTCTAAAGGTCTAAAAAGATTGAGAAGCACTGCTCTACACCATTTCGGACAAATGGCTGTCCAGTCTCTTCTTAAAAACTTCCAGTGTTGGAGCATTTACTGCTTCTGGAGGCAGGTTGTTCCACAGGTTAATTGTTCTGATTGTCAGGAAGTTTCTCCTTAGTTCCAGGTTGCTTCTCTCCTTGATTAGTTTCCATCTGTTGCTTCTTGCCCTGCCTTCAGGCGCTTTGTAAAATAGCTTGACTCCCTCTTCTTTGGGGCAGCCCCTGAGATATTGGAAGACTGCTATCATATCCCCCCTCGTCCTTCTATTCATTAAACTAGACATACCCAATTCTAGCAACCATTCCTTGTATGTTTTAGCCTCCAGTCCCCTGATCATCTTTGTTGCTCTTCTCTGCACTCTCTGTAGAGTCTCAACATCTTTTTTACATGGTGGTGACCAAAGTGTGGCCTTATCAAGGCCTTGTAAAGTGGTATTAACACTTCACGTGATCTTGATTCTGTCCTTCTGTTAATGCAACCTAGGACTATCTCTATTATTAAATTCACATCAAACTTCCATAAAAAAACCTTCTGATACTTTATTTCTCTGAAATAGACCTTAAAACGCTCCACAGTTTCCATTTTTAGAATTTGCAAATCAGTTTTAACATCAGTGATCCCCTGAGGTAAAATACCTTCCCCGATCAATACAGGTTATTCTCGAATGATGGTCACTGCTGAGCCCCAAATTTCCTTTTCCAAGCGAGACAATTGTGAGTTTTGTCCCATTGGACGACCTTTTTACCACAGTCGTTAGGTGAATCACTGCAATTTTTCAATGAATTTTGTGGTTGTTAAACAAATATGGCTTCCCCATGTTGGAAGCCAGCTGGGAAGGTTACCAATGGTGATCACGTAACCCATGGACACTGTGACCATCATAAATATGAGTCAGTTGATTTTGATCACGTGATCAGTCATAAGTGGGGAAACTGGTTGCAAGTCACTTTTTTCAGCGCCGTGGTCTGTCAACGCTGCAAATGTTGTATATTCTTGCTTTTGACAATATGCAGAAGTGTCTGGTAATTCTGGGGTTAATACAGAGCAGAAGGGGGGTTGGGGGTACAGCCCGGGAAAGAAAGAGGAAGAAAACATTTGACCTTCACACTAAATGGATAATATGAGATATGACGGCAAATTTAGGGAGGGAACATGCTGACAATTTAACTGCTCAGAGAGAACTTAGATCCTAGCATCCCTCCGTTGTGCCTGTGCCGACATTTTGTAACAATAAAAGACTTTTAGGAAAATAAATGCCTGGAAGTTCTTTGGAATGTTTCATTAGCCGGAACCACAACATGGTCATTCTGAACGATCACCGAACAAAACTGTTGTAAGTTGAGGGTAACCTGTATCATTCTTTCAAAACGGAATTTGCAAGTTCTGAAGATAACTTGAAAATATTGTGTAATAGGATGGAAGTTGCGTCACGTGTCCCAAAGGTGCTTTTTCAGGAGGCACCTGGACGTTCTTGTTTTTCTTTGAAGACTTTTCACTTCCCATCCAAGAAGCTTCTTCAGCTCTGACCGGATAGTGGGCGAATGGAAGGATTTATACTCCTTGCAGACAGCTGGTCATTTGCCTTCTTTTAGAGGGTTGTTGAGGTCACTTGGAGGTTTTATCTGTGTCCTCAGGGTCACCTGAGTGGTGCAAATGGGTGTGGAGCCTTCATGGCTGCAGGATGTTTTCTGCCCTGGGTCCAGTGGTGGGATTCAGCCGGTTTGCACCACTTCGGCAGAACTGGTAGATAATTTTTTGTTGCCTGGGCCCAGAATGGACTTCCGGAAGTGGCATCCACACAGAGAACCGGTGTTCACATGTTTGAATCTTACCACGCCTGGGTCCCTTCACTGTTGAAGACAGGTGCATTTCCAGAAAACATTACAGACAACAGGAACCATCTACGCTTCAGTTTGAAATGCAGACAACACGGACTCATCCCCAACAGCCTGCGCCTGTCTTTAACAGTGAAGGGATCCAGGGCAGAAAACATCCTGCAGCCAAGAAGGTTCCACGCCCATTTGCACCACTCAGGTGACCCTGAGGTAAACCTCCAAGTGGCCCCAACAACTGTCTATAAGGATGCAAATGACCAGCTGTCTGCAAGGAGTCTAAATCCTTCAATTCCCCACCATCCAGTCAGAGCTGAAGAAGCTTCTTGGATGTGAAGCAAAACTTCTTCAAAGAAAAACAAGAAAGTTCAGTTGCCTCCTGAAAAAGCACCTTTGGGACAACCATGACCTGGATGACTGACAATCTCCATAGACAAGTTGCATAACAAAAGATATTTCCCACTTTCATCTATCTCCTTCATTACTCTTCGGCTGGAGGTCCACCTTGTCCTGATGGTTGGTGACCCCCAGAATTTATTTTTTCATCCAATAGCAACTTATAGGCTCCACACACCCACAGCCCACCATTTTTCCACCATGCTCCACTCTCTGCAACAGAAGGAACAAGTGAATCCATTCCTGTTATGAAGAAAACATAATCTCTTTTTTTTTTTTCCAAATGGTGATGTGATGGAAGGAGTTGGGTCTCAACCCACAAGACTTATCTTTAACATTTTCAACACATGCTTACTCTACTGCAGGGGTCTTCAAACTTGGCCCTTTTATGACTTGTGGATTTCAACTCCCAGAATTCCTCAGCCAGTGTCCACAGGTCCACAAGTCATAAAAGGGCCAAGCTTGAGGACCCCTGATCTAGCCCAACCTCTATCCCAGGGGTCTTCAAACTTGGCCCTTTTATGACTTGTGGACCTCAACTCCCAGAATTCCTCAGCCAGGCAGGTGTGCCTGGCTGAGGAATTCTGGGAGTTGAAGTCCACAAGTCATAAAAGGGCCAGGTTTGAAGACCCCCTCTTCTAGTGTTTGTCATCTCTGTGGAAGGATGCGATTGTCGACTAACCGAAACACAAACATGAAAAAAGGGAATAAAAATACATCACACCTTTTCATTATGGGGAGGGGGGAAAGAGAGAGCAATTAAACACGATGAAGAGGGCACAAAATGGTCAGAAAGTGATATAAAACGGAAGTACAATTTGTCCGTTTTTCCTCTGTCTGGAGAAAAATAGGCTGATATTTTCTTTAAAAATTGCAGATACTTTCTATTTTTTTTTTTATAAAAAACCTGATTATGATTTCTTTTTTCCTTTGCTTAAATATTGCTTAGCATGTAATGGTTAATATGGTTCTTTTTTTTTCATGGAAAACTTGAACATCTCTGGAACCACTCTTAAATTTATGCTGTCCTTCTTAAGAACAATTGCCCACTGTTTTGGGCAGGATAAAATTCTGAGTTTTGCTGAATTCTCAGCGCATCCTAAACACGGTGCAAGAGGGAAGCAAGCCATTTTAGATTTCAGCGTCTGCAGAATCAGATTATTTACCCAGGAATACAAAGACAGAAGGAGAAAGGATTAGCAACGTCCTACACAATCTCAACCCGAGGGATTACAAAGATTTGAAAGTCAGCTGCATCCTCACATTTTCTTTGAAAACAAAATCAGGAAAGAAAAAAAAGCGCTCAGAAAAAAAGCAAAGAAAGTTGGTGGATTTCAAGTTCTCTTTTTATTGAAGAAAAGGAAAAAAAAACGAAGAAAAAAAATAGAGATTTTTTTCCCCAAGTGAACTTTACTCACTGTGTGTGTGTGTGTGTGTGTGTGTGTGTGTGTGTGTGTGTGTGTGTTGTCTCAGTTTGTCTCAAAGTCTAAGGCAAATGTTCTATTCAATGTCTCCAGGTTAGTTCGCTGAGGACTTTCTGCTTTGAAGAGTGGATGGGTCAAAAGATGGGGAGGGGTTTTTTTTGTGTCTTTCGAAATGAAAAATAGGAGGGAAAAACCAAACCAAACAAAAAACAACAACAACCCTGAATTCGCAGGAACCATTGGAATAAAAGCCCCCCACGAGTTTCTGGATGACTGACTAACGAGTCGATAGGATGACCTACATTCTTTTTTTTTTGTGTTCATTGATTTCCTTTTATTTATTTTTTATTTTTAAAAAACACCCTCCCTTTTTACCCAGTAAAGCAGGTTTTGTGGTGGTTCTCCAGTTGAATGGATTTTTAACTTAAGAGGAGTTGTTCGTTGTCCAAATGTCACACTCCGCTTACCGATGCTGAAGAGGTCGCCCCAAAAAATAAAATTGGAATAGAAGAAAGGGATTTGAAATCTTCCAGCCCGGACAGTTTGTCCGTCTCCCTTGGTTCTCCTTCTCCACAGATATTCTCCCAATGAGGTCAAGGGAGGGTTGATGGAGAGGTCCAATGGGCAGATGTCTTGTGTGAGATTCTGAGGCTTTCCCACTGGTGACGAGGAGGCATGAAAAGATGATGAGTGTTCTTCTCTTTTTCATTCCTCATGGATTCAGGAGACAAAGTGCTAGTAGATTAGTATCCAATAGTGATCTCTTTGTTGCTTGGTATCCTGTTAACGTTGTTCTTTCTGCTCGTCACTTCTTTTTTTTTTCGTCATTCCTGACATTTGTTATCACCACATGCCTATCCACATCGAAGACCCTCCACTCGTCCTTTGTTTTCCTCTAAGGACATTTGGAAAAAGTTTAATTCTTCTTCTTTTGCCCTCCCCAATTTCCACCCTTCCCTTTGGCCAACCTTTCTTTCTACTTTGTTACTTGGGAAAAGTCAGGTTTCGTTCACTTACTACTACTACTGTGCTCTAAAAAGGAATGGTAATTCCTCCATCTTGGTCTATGGAGGATGTAACCAAGATAATCCTGTATTTTCCTGCAGTTAGATTTCAGCGAGACTCCAGCTGGCTCAGTTCTCTGCCTTTTAATTCCACACCACGGGTTCTCTTTCTTTCTTTCCTTTTCTTTCTTTCTTTCTTTCTTTCTTTCTTTCTTTCTTTCTTTCTTTCTTTCTTTCTTTCTTTTTCTTTCTTTCTTTCTTTCTCTCTCTCTCTCTCTCTCTCTCTTTTTCTTTCTTTCTTTCTTTTTTAAAAAAGTTTCTAACCTGTTTATGTTTTGTTCTTGTTTTGTTTTCCAGTAGGGTGAGGAAAGACACCCAAAGAGTCTTTTTTTTTTCCTTCTTCTTATTCTTTTCTTCTCTCCTTCTCAGACCTCTGTCTGGAGGTCAATAATGTCCTGTCCCACCAGGGGAATTGTTGTGCCTGACTTCTCCCATTCCACAGTTTTGAGTTCTAAGGGAGACTGAATCTCAGTCTCCATCTCCTTTTTGACCCAAGCTGGGGGCGAGTGGACCTTCCGGAGCGTTTCCCAAGGTCTCTTGTTTGGTGTCGGCTGCTTCTCTTGCTAGAAAGGAATCAGAGCATAGAAGGAAAAAGGAAGTGAGATGCCAGAACCAAACAGGGATACAGAATACAGATTAAAAAGAGTCAGAAGGGACCTTGGAGGTCTTCTAGTCCAACCCCCTGCTCAAACGGGAGATCTTACACCATTCCAGACAAAGGGTTGTCTAGGCTATTTTGCAAAACCTCCAGCGATGAAACGCACCCACAACTTCTGGAGGCAAGCTGTTTCGCTGGTTAATTGTTCTCACTGCCAGGAAATTTCTAGGTTGGCTCTCTCCTTGATCAATGTCTATGGAGGATCTCAATCACCCTGGCCATTGCTGCCCCAAAGATTCTTTTCAAAAGCAATTGGACTTTCTTGGGTTTTTTTTTTCTTTCAAAAGAAGCTGAAGAACTGAAGAAGCTTCTTGGATAAGAAGGGAAAAGGTTTCAAGGGAAAAACCAAGAAAGGTCCAGTTGACTATTGAAAAGCACCTTTGGGATTTTCCTGGATAAGTTTCTATCCATTGCTTCTTGTCCTGCCCTCCAGGGCTTTGGAGAATAGGTTGCCCCCCTCTTCTCTAAGTCAGCCCCACAAGTATTGGAAGGAAGCTATCATGTCATCCCTCGTCCTTTTCTTCATTAGACTAGAGGTGCCCAGTTCTTGCAACCATTTCATCATCTGCTTCAGCTTCCAGTCCCCTGATTGTCTTTGCTTCTCTTCTCTGCACTCTTTCTAAGATCTCAGCATTGTTTTCGTATCGTGGTAACCAAAACGGGATGCAGGATTCCAAGTGTGGTCTTATCACTGGAGTATAAAGCAGTACTGGCATTTTACATGATCTTGATACTATCCCTCTGTTAATGGAGCCCAGGACTGCATGGTCTATATTTTATTTTATTTTATTTTATTTTATTTTATTTTACTTTATTCTATTCTATTCTATTCTATTCTATTCTATTCTATTCTATTCTATTTTATTTTATTATTTTATTTTATTATATTATATTTATTTTATTTTATTGTTTTATTTATTTTATTTTATTTATTTTATTTTATTTATTTCATTTTATATTATTTTGTATTTATTTTATTATTTTATTTTATTTTATTATTTTATTTTATTTTATATTTATTTTATTTTATTATTTTTATTTTATTTTATTTTATTATTTTATTTTATTTTTATTTAGTTTTATTTAGTTTTATTTTATTATTATTATTTGTTTCATTTTGTCTTATCTTGTATATTTTGTTTTATTTCTTTTGTTTTTATTTATTTTATTTTTTATTTTGTTTTCTTTTATTTTTTATTTATTTTATTTTGTTTTCTTTTATTTTTCTTATTTATTTTATTTTATTTATTATTTTATTTATTTTTTATTTTTCATTTCATTTCATTTATTATTATTTTATTTTATTTTTATTTATTTTGTTTCATTTATTTTATTCTATTTTATTTATTTTTTATATATTTTATTTAATTTTATTATTTAATTTTACTTTATTTTTATTTTATTTTATTTTATTTTTATGCTGCCCATGTCCCCTATAAAGTGACCCTGGGCAGCTGGTTGGGATCTGGGATTTAGGTCAATTGCAAAACTGAACTGGAAGGTCTTAAGGCTGCCCCTTGCTGCCCTTTTATGAGGAATCGTACTACGAGATGTTCCTCTGTGGAAAAATAAAAGGAAATTGTGGATGTTTTTCCCAGAATGACCTGATATAAAAGAGCAACATTTTAATTGCAAGGGTAAAAAAAACCTGCCGATCCAAGAGAGGATTAGAATAGCTACAATGATGTAAAACAGGGGTCTCCAGACTTGGCCCTTTTATGACTTGTGGACTTCAACTCCCAGAATTCCTCAGCCAGCCTCCATTTTGTTTCTTAGATTTAAGACAGGGGTCTTCAAACTTGGCCCTTTTGTGACTTGTGGACTTCAACTCCCAGATCACGTGAAGTATTAATACCACTCTTCAATACCTTGGTAAGGCCACACTTGGAATACTGCATCCAGTTTTGGTCACCACAATGTAAAAAAGATGTTGAGATTCTAGAAAGAGTACAGAGAAGAGCAACAAAGATGATTAGGGGACTGGAGGCTAAAACATATAAGGCACGGTTGCTAGAATTGGGTATGTCTAGTTTAACGAAGAGAAGGACAAGGGGGGACATGATAGCAGTGTTCCAATATCTCAGGGGCTGCCATAAAGAAGAGGGAATTAAGCTATTCTCCAAAGCACCTGAAGGCAGGACAAGAAGCAATGGGTGGAAACTAATCAAGGAGAGAAGCAACCTAGAACTAAGGAGAAACTTCCTGACAGTTGGAACAATTAATCAGTGGAACAGCTTGCCTCCAGAAGCAGTAAATGCTCCAACACTGGAAGTTTTTAAGAAGAGACTGGACAGCCATTTGTCCGAAATGGTGTAGGGTTTCCTGCCCGAGCAGGGGGTTGGACTAGATGACCTCCAAGGTCCCTTCCAACTTTACTACTATTATTATTATTATAATTCCTCAGCCAGCCTCCATTTTGTTTGTTAGATTTAAGACAGGGGTCTTCAAACTTGGCCCTTTTATGACTTGTGGACTTCAACTCCCAGAATTCCTCAGTCAGTGTGCCTGGCTGAGGAATTCTGGGAGTTGAAGTATACAAGTCATAAAAGGGCCACGTTTGAAGACCCCTGATGTAAAAGGAGAAAATGAAATCTCTCTGGCTTTGTGCTTCCTCTTATTGAGAGAAGCAGACCCAGCCAAGGTAGTACCAGGTTGAGCTTTAGTTTCCCACCTTACAAAATAACAGAATTGGAAGGGACCTTGGAGGTCTTCTAGTCCAACCCCCTGCTCAAGCAGGAGACCCTCTACCATTCCAGACAAATGGGTGTCTAGTCTTTTCCTGAAAACCTCCAGAGATGAAGCATCTACAACTTCTGGAGGCAAGCTGTTCCACTGGTGAATTGTTCTTACTGTTATGGTAGGAAATTTCTCCTTAGTTCTAGGTTGCTTCTCTCCTTGATGAGTTTCCATCCGTTGCTTCTTGTCCTGCCTTCAGGCGCTTTAGAGAAGAGCTTGACTCCCTCTTCTTTGGGGCATCCCCTGAGATATTGGAAGACTGCTATCATGTCCCCCCTTGTCCTTCTCTTCATTAAACTAGACATCCCCAATTCCAGCAACTGTTCCTTATATGTTTTAGCCTCCAGTCCCCTGATCATCTTTGTTGCTCTTCTCTGTACTCTTTCTAGAGTCTCAGCATCTTTTTTTATATCGTGAAGACCAAAATTGGATGCCCTGTTCCAAGTGTGTCCTTACCAAGGCCTGATATAGTTGTACTAACACTCCATATGATCTCGATTCTATCCCTCTGTTAATACAGCGTAGGACTGTGTTGACTTTTTTGGTGGCTACGGCGCCTTGTTCATTCATATGTAGTTGATTGTCCACTAGATCTTTCTCCTTTACAACAGATCTCCCTCACAGTAATGGCTATTAAGCCAGGTACCCCCTATTCTATTCCTGTGCATGTACTGTGTTTTTCTGGGGTTGTTTATGAGATTATTTCAGTTCTTTTGTATTTGAAGTGGGTGATGGAACTAGGAAAAGTTGAAATACATCGGATCGGTCCTGTGGATATGTACACCCAGGTTTGCCCCGGGTTGACTTTGGCGTCTCACAGGAAATTTGACGTGGGGACTCTTATGTGATTCGCCTTGAGTTCTGATAAAAATTATATCTCTCTTAGAGTAGAACACAGGTAGGTCCTGGACACACAATCCCCAACTGAGCCCACAATTTGAGTTGCCAATTTGTTCAGGGAGTGTTGCCCCATTTATGACCTTCCCTGCTACCATCGTTAAGTGAACCATTGCATCGTTAAACGGGTAACACGGCGGTTCAGTGAATCAAGGTCAAAAAAAGTTGATCACATGGACCCCAGGACACCACAACCGTCATAAACATGACCCCGTTGCCAAGCGTCCGAATTTTGATCACGTCACCATGGGGAGGCTGCCGCAACTGCGTGAAAAAAGGTCATAGGTCACGGGTTGTAACTCTGAACGGTCACCAAATGAGCTGTCGAGGACCACCTGTATAATGGCGCAATGAAAGCAACCGGCATGCCACTTGGGATGTTCGGAAAGTCTACCATGTTGGAGGTGGGCAAGGCTAGGAAAGACATTATGGATGATTGGGGTGAAATGCAATCAAAGATCCCTCAAGGTGGAAGGGATGACCACCTAGGGTCTCCCCCGCTATGGGGTACAGAAAGAGGGCAGGAAACATTCCAAGAATGTTAGCTTGTGACTAGGAAGGCCGAATGCTGGTTTCTGGTGATCGGATGTAGCTGGCAACATGCAGCATAAGAAAGTTGGAGAGGAGATGTATCTATGAGGCCCTAGAAGGAGAATTGCAGGCAGTAAGACTTACACTGGCATTAGTTTTATCACTGCCGCTTGAGGAAATGCTCCATCTTTTCATGGCCTAAACATACAAGAGAAAATAGGGTGGGTTTTTTTCCCTTTCCTCTTTCAAACCCACCATACAAGGGTGCCAAAAGAAGGTGGACCTTCCAAGAAACATATTGAAATCAAAGAAACGGGGAAAAAAAAACCATATTAAACATGTTGTACTTAAACAAACCAATATGACCCACGTTCCCAAATTCCGGCCTTTGGCAACAATCTGGAGGGATCTAAGCCACCAATCCAGCACCAGGATTAGGAATATCCTGGGTGGAGATAATTAAATTCAAAGATAACAATGTTGGCTAGATGTGACCATCTTTCTCTGCCTGTTCCTCTAAAGAGATTTTGTTGTTGTTGTCAGTTGCGAAGTCATGTCCGACCCATCGCGACCCCATGGACAATGATCCTCCAGGCCTTCCTGTCCTCTACCTTCTTCTGGAGTCCACTGAAGCTCACGCCTACTGCTTCAGTGACTCCATCCAGCCACCTCATTCTCTGTCGTCCCCTTCTTCTCTTGCCCTCCATCTTTCCCAGCATCAGGCTCTTCTCCAGTGAGTCCTTCCTTCTCATTAGGTGATCAAAGTCCTTGAGGTTCAACTTCAGGATCTGGCCTTCTAAAGAGCAGTCGGGGTTGATCTCCTCTAGGACTGACCGGTTTGATCACCTTGCAGTCCAGGGGACTCGCAGGAGTCTTCTCCAGCTCCAGAGTTCAAAAGCCTCAATTCTTTGGCGCTCAGCCTTTCTTATGGTCCCACTTTCACAGCCATACATTGCAACTGGGAAAACCATGGCCTGGACTATACGCACTTTTGTTGGCAGGGTGATGTCTCTGCTTTTTAGTATGCTGTCTAGATTTGCCATAGCTTTCCTCCCCAGGAGCAAGAGATTAGTATCGGTCAAATAGAAGATTATTCAAAGAAGAACATTTCTGAGAAGGATGATTGGGGTTCTAACATTTAGGGGAGAGGGAAGATCTTAATTTTTATTGCATAATTTTATCTCCTGCTTTCTGGAGCCTCCAGGGCTTCCAGACTTGCGATAAATCTCCAGGGAGACATCGATAGAAAATTTCTCCCATAGATTTTTCTTTTTTTTCAGCGGTGGCACCATCAACACCAAGATTGAATCTTGATCTTCTGAAACTGTTGGCCAATTGCTTCTTCACCTTGGGAGCTGCAGAGAAACTGCCTCCTCAGTTTCATTTCTGAGATCTTAGAGGGTTTTTTAAAACAAAACAAAACAAAACGATTTGCACCCAGGTCTGGTAGAGCTCAGAAACTTCCAAGGATTGGAAAGGCTCACCTTAGTCTCCATGGGTGGAGATTCTTTTTCCTTCTCTGCATTTTGCAGCTTCCGGTTCAGGTCCTGGAACATGTCTTGGTGACGTTTTCTTGTGTGCATGATTTTCTACAACAGGGAACATCCAGATAAGTTGAGGGTTTGGGAGAAGCAAATGAACACTGTCTGTCTGTCTGTCTGTCTGACCTGTCTGTCTAGTGTATAACCAATCAGTCTGTCTGTCCAACCATCTGTCTGTCTATCTGCTTGCCAACCTTCCTTCTCTGTCTGTCTGTCTGTCTCTCTCTCTCTCTATCTATCTATCTTGTCCGCCTGCCTGTCTGCCCTATCTATCTATCTGTCTGTCTGTCTGTCCATCCCTCCTTCCCTCCCTGCATCCATCCATCCATCATCCATCCATCCATCCGTCTGTCCCCCTCCCTCCATTATCTGTCTATCTGTCTGTCTATCTATCTATCTATCTATCTATCTATCTATCTATCTATCTATCTATCTATTATCCATCCACCCACCCACCTATCTATCTATCTATCTATCTATCTATCTATCTATCTATCTAGCTGTTATCTATCTATCTATCTATCTATCTATCTATCTATCTATCTATCTATCTGTTATCCATCCACCCACCCACCCACCCACCCACCCACCCACCCACCCACCCACCCACCCACCCATCTATCTATCTATCTATCTATCTATCTATCTATCTATCTATCTATCTATCTATCTATCTATCTATCTATCTATCTATCTATCTATGTTATCCATCCATCCACCCACCCATCCACCCACTCACCTACCTACTTACCTATCTATCTATCTATCTATCTATCTATCTATCTATCTATCTATCTATCTATCCATCTATCTGTTATCCATCCATCCACCCACCCACTCACCTACCTACCTACCTACCTACCTACCTACCTACCTGCCTGCCTGCCTGCCTGCCTGCCTGCCTGCCTGCCTGCCTGTCTGTCTGTCTGTCTGTCTGTTCTTTCTATCTATCTATGTATCATCTCCAGCCTTTGGTGGTTAAATCACTGCCAAGTATGTAAACTGCCCAGGCTCGAATCCCATAAAGGGTATGGCTAACTGAAGAGAGCAAAATGAGCTCGAAATGGCCATCGTAGTCTCCCAATTTAATTCTTTAACTCTTTGTCAGAAAAAGAAATTTGGATTTGTAAATGTTTCGCAGTTGCGACTTGAGCCTGCTTAACGCCCCTAGTTGGGGGGCTGCAAGGCAAAAGAGATTGTAAAAAGTATAACTGCAGTATAGCAGTTAAAAATGTCAAGGTGTAATCAATCAGATCGGTCTGTCTGAAAAACTTCCTATATATATATATAGTCCCCGACTTTTGAGCACAACCGAGCACAACATTTCTGAGGCTAAGCAAGAACGGCGGTTAAGTGAGTTTTGCTCCATTTTACACCTGCTGCTGTTCTTCAGCAAATCGCTGCCGTCGTTAAGCGAAGCACGGGCTCGTTAAGTGAAATGGCCTTTGCCCGTTGACTTTGCTGGTTGGAAACTGGCCGGGACAGTCACCGGTGATGATCACATGACCACAGGACCCTTCAACCATCCTAAACACAAGGCAGTTGGCCAACTACCTGAATGTTGATTGCTGCAATGGTCGTAAGTGTGAAAACTCATCCTAAGTCCCTATTTTCAGTGCTGTATTTTTCAGCGGTCACTAAACGAATGCTCGTAAGTTGCGTACTGCCTGCATATTTTATTCTAAAGAAACAGAACACCTAAAAGGGCAGGGTATGACCTGGAGATGAAACCACATCTTCAAGGGGAAAAAAAATCACCCAGCCTTAATCGTGGAAGCAGCCCAAATACTCACCTCAAAATCTAGTTCTGCATATCGCGATTTCCGCCTCTGCAAAATCAAAGAAAGAGGAAGACCCATGATTAAGGCTTGAGAAGAGATGAAGTAGTCCAGCCTCCTGCTCAGGCAGGAGACCCTAAACCAGCGGTTCTCAACCTGTGGGTCGGGACCCCATTTGGGGTCGAACGACCATTTCACGGGGGTCGCCAAACAACGCAGTCCGCCATTTTTTCCCCCTTTTCCTTAGCTGTGCTACTCCCTTTTATTCTATTGGCTTTTGAAAGCCAATAGAATAGACTCTCTTGAATAGAGTCTAATTCTATTGGCTTTCAAAGGCCAATAGGAATTGTCCAGGCTGTCTCTGCCCTGCTGAGCCCGCCAAAAGTCCCATTCTGCAAACGGTGCTGCAAGTTGTCTGCAGCGAAGGCGAGCTGTCTGGAAGTTTCCACCCCTCCCTGCTGAGCAACTACTAAAAATGTAAGTAAAAGAGGGCCAGGGGTGGGAGGGGGGGAGGCCGGCAGGCGCAGGGAGGGCTGCTGGCGCAGGTGGGGCCCGGCGGGTGCCTTACCTCCCTTGGGCTGGGCCAGCTGGTGGCCCAGCCGGTGGTCGGCCTGCGCCGTCTCTGCCGCTTGCCAGCTACGCCTCGGCTGACAAGCATGCGTGGCGCTCTCAGGCAGGGAAAGTCCTTGACTTACGACTGGTTGGGTAGTCCTTGACTTACGACCAGTTGGGGGTCGCGGCATTAAAAAGGTTGAGAACCACTGCCCTATACAATTGGAGACCAATGGTTGTCCAGTCTTTTCTTAAAAACCTCCAGTGATGAAGATGGGGGAGTCAAGCTATTGTCCAAAGCAGCAAAAGGCAAGGCAAGAAACAACGGATGGAAACTAATCAAGGAGAGAAGCAACCTAGAACTACGGAGAAATTTCCTGACAGTGAGAACAATTAACCAGTGGAACAACCTGCCTCCAGAAGGGGTGAATGCTCCAACATTGGAAGTTTTTAAGAAGAGACTGGACAGTCATTTGTCCGACATGGAATAGGGTCTCCTGCTTGAGGAGGGGGTTGGACCAGAAGACTCTATTATTCTATGTTCCATGTTCACTTTCTCTACAGAACGTCTCTTGTGAGAGAGATGGAAGGGAGAATGCAATCTAGGCCACTCTGCTCTCCTAAAGCAGGGTGTCCAACTTTGGCAAGTTTGAGACTTGTGGACTTCAACTCCCAAAATTCCCCAGTCTCAAAATGTCTGAAGCAAAAGGGCCCTCAAAACTGGAGAGACTCAACTGACTTCTATCCAGGCTTTCCATACAAAGCATTTCTTCCAATAAGACTGGTCCATGGTTCACCCCCCAGAAACACCCCAGTTCCTGCATCATTGGTCCATCGTGTTCATGAGGTGGTGGGGCTGAGGTTTTGCATCCAGCTGGGACTCACAGAAGGAACATCAAGTGAGATAATATCAGAAAGAAGCACTGGGGCAACGGCACGCGTGCCCACAGAGTGCCACCTCTGGCACCCGTGCCATAGGTTCGCCACCACTGACCTAGGTCAGTGGTGGCGAACCTATGGCACGGGTGCCAGAGGTGGCACTCTTTGGGCACGCGTGCCGTTGCCCCGGTCCTAGGCCTTCAGCTGGGTTTTATAAAACCTTTTCGCTTTAGGCCTCTGCTGTCATGTCCCCCCCCCAAAAAAGGTTCAATCAATCAGTCAATTTCAACTTCTCGCGGGGAAAAAAAAAGATCTTGCAAAGTTGAGATTGATTGATTGAACTTTTTAGTCCCACCCAGTCTGCCGTTACCACCGCAGCCACGTCCACCCAATGGGCCATGCCCACCCAATGGGCCACGCCCACCCAATGGGCCACACCCACCTGGCACCCAACAATGCATAAGTGGGTTTTGGGTTGCAATTTGGGCACTCGATCTCTAAAAGGTTCGCCATCACTGGCGTAGGTCCTCCTTGTCCCTTGAAGGACAATTAGGAGAGATAAGTGAGGAAATTAAGTACATGTAAAATACTTTGGGAGCACGTGCATAGCAAATGATTGTCCTTAATGAAGGACATTAATTAACAACATCATTTTATAGGAGTGTAATCACAGTCCGACACACTCCAAGATTACAGTGCTGGAACTCGTTGGCCAAAAATGCCTGGTCTAAACTTCCTAAAATGTGAGTGGGGGTTGAGCTAGAAAACCCTTCCAATTTTGTTCTTCTGCTATTCAGTTATTCTCTAAAACAGCCATGCTAGCTGGGGAATCAGAAGCAGAATAGAGCTGGAAGGGACCTTGGAGGTCTTCTAGTCCAGTCCCCTGCTCAAGCAGGAGACTTCAGACAATTGGCTGTCCGGTCTTGTCTTAAAAACCTCCAGTGATGGAGCACCCACAACTTCTGAAGGTCAGCCATTCCACTGGTTAATTAATTTGCTTTTAGGAAGTTTCTGTTTAATTCCAGGTTGCTTCTCTCTTGGGTCAGTTTCCAACCATTGTTTCTTGTCCTTCCCTCTGGTGCTTTGGAGGATAACGTGACACCCTCTTCTTTGGGGCAGCCCCTCAAATATTGAAACACTGCTATCACGTCCTCCCTAGTCCTTCTTTTGTCTAGACTAGCCAAACCCAAATCCTGCAACCATTCTTCGTATGATTTAGTCTCCAGGCCTTTAATCATCTTTGTACTGCTTTGTACTTTGTACTCCCTCTTCTTTGTACAGTTCTGGAAGCTGAAGTCCCCAAGTGTTAAAATTGCCAACTTTGGAGACCCTTTGTCCTAATACAAACACTGAAACCTTTGCCAAGTCCTCCACATGGAATCTGAGCTCAAAAATAAGACTGCACGCCACTGTTTTAAGACATCTATCCTGAGTAGCTACAGTAGTGGCCAAAATTGTGGAAACCTTTTTGGAAAAGTGTACAGTAGAAATGCCACCTTGGGTTAAGTTTCCACCCATTTTTCTTCTAATTTCTTTATAACTGTGGCTTTGTTCAGTTAATAATACTATTTTACATCGCTTTCTGGGTGACCAGTCAAATCTTTGCACCATGACTTTAATTTTATTACATTCTGCCAGCTCAAGAACACAAAAAAAACCCCAACCAACTTGACAGCGATCACAATAACACACTGACCAATGTCCTCCTCTCAGCTTCAATACGTGACATCAATAACTGAATCCTACTGTGATCTGATTGGCTCGTTGCCAAAACAAGAGGATACCCAATTGGCTCTCTAAATACTCATGCTCATTGGCTACAATCAGATGAAGGAAAGCTACCTGAGATCAACCTAAGCAAGTTGTGCTTCCTTTTTCTGGTTATTTGGCTATAACTTTTCATAGAATACAGTACAGATAATTGAACAAACTTCATTGCATTACATTCTTGATTAAATTATCTTTCTGTTGATATATAATTTTATGGTATTTATCCCCCCAAAAGTGGTGTTATTAGCCATCAAACCTCAAAAATACACTTTTCGCAAAAGGTTTCCACCATTTGGGCCACTACTATATGCTTTTTTTTAAAAATAAAAATTTAATTAGCAGGGATGGAATTTAGGGCCTTCTGCCACCAAAAAGTATGGAGGCGACCACCAGTTTTCAGCCACTTACTTCGAGGGAGCTCATGGAGAGGGTGTTGACTGCCTCGTTCTTGGTCACGATTCCGGTGTTGCTGCTCTTGCCCGTGTCACACAAGCTGTTGGGCAACTGTGAGTCCGTAGATTTATTGACCAAGGGCGGAGACAAAGGCTGCTGCTGCATCATGGACGAAGCCTGCCCTTCCCTGCAGCTGATCCCTGCAGGCTCTCTCGGTGGGCTCTTGACCACAAAGCCCGGATCTGTGGCCATGCTGAGGTGGATGAGCCTTGTTTGGGGCATCTGGTCAATGTTGATACTGTACTTGGTGTCGTCCTTGGGGGGTGGCGGCGGGGGTGGCGGGGGTGGCGGGGGTGGCGGTTTGGGCCTCAAGGTGGACGTGTTGGTGGGCAGAATGACGTAGCTGGTGTCCCTGGCTTGTTCCTGGGCGCGCGAAAGCTCGGTGTCCAGCTTTTTGAAGATATCTCCATCGCAGATGTAGATGGATTTGGGAGCTTGGCTCTTGTCCTTCTTCAAGGTCAGGGTGTGGTTGTTGAAGTCGTTGAGGTTGAGAGCGCCCAGGTAGTGGGGAGAGCTCTGGAGATGCAACTTGGAGACGTTGGCTGGAAGACTGTTGAAGTTGGAGGATCCCTTCGGGTGGTTGAGCTTCAGCTTCTCCTCATCCTGCAGGGACGGGCGCTTCAGCGTCCCGGTGATGGTCATGGTCCGGCATGTCCCAATGTCTTTGTTGAGCACTAACCAATCAGGAGGAAAGAGACGGGATTTCAGAAGAAACTACGGAAACCATGAGTTGACACAACCACATCTATCTATCTATCTATCTATCTATCTATCTATCTATCTATCTATCTATCTATCTATCTATCTATCTATCTATTAATAAAATTTATATGCCGCCCAATTCCCTAGGGACTCAGGGCGGCGTACAAAATTAAAACAACAAGTATAACAATTAAAAATGAGTACGTTCACACAGCATGTCCCAATCGAATCCTGCCCCCCCCCCCCGGGACATCAACTCCAGGCCTGCCGGAACAGGAGAGTTTTAATAGCTTTCTTGAAGGCCGGCAAGGTGGGAGTAGTTCGAATCTCGGGGGGAAGTTGATTCCACCAGGTCGGAGCCACCACAGAAAAGGCCCTTCCCCGAGGGCCCGCCAGCCGACATTGTCTGGCCGACGGGACCTAAAGGAGGTCCAATCTATGGGACCTCACCGGTCTCTGGGAACTGTGCGGCAGTATGTGGTCCTGTAAGTAACCTGGTCCTAAGCCATGAAGGGCTTTAAAGGTGACAACCAACACCTTGAATTGCATCCGGAGACCCACAGGAAGTCAGTGCAGCTCGCGGAGGATAGATCTACCCCAGTTCCTTCCCCTAAAACACAGGATTCCTCATACAAGCAATCCTCCACATATGCCCACCATTGAGTCTGTTGATAAGTGAGTTTTGCCCCACTTTATGACCTTTCTTGCCACAGCTGTTAAGCGGATCACGGCAGCTGTCAATTTAGGAAGAGGGCTGTTAAGTGAATCGGGCTTCTCCCATTAACTTGGCAAAAGGGGATCATGTCAGCCCCAGGACACGGCAATCGTCATAAATTTGTGTCGGTCGCCAAACGTCTGAATTTTGATCCTGTGACCCTGGGGATGCCGCAACGGCCATTAAGTGTGAAAAACGGTGCTAAGTCCCTTTTTTTAGTATTGTTGTAACTTCAAACAGTCACTAAGCAAAAGGTGGAATGTCAAGGACTCTCTCTGTTTCCTAATTACGTCATTGTCACCCACTGTCCCAAACAAGAATGAACACACTCACCCATGCCCACCCACAGCCTCCCATAACGGGACTGACATTAAATTTGACTTTCCACAATTTATTGTACCAGAACATGCCCCTGCCACCACAAACCTACTCCAAATGGATCTCAGATTCCCTCAACCATCCAGGTAAAATTACAGATGTAAATAAAGTTAAAAATGCCCACACCATAATTCATATATTCTTCAGGGAGACCCGTGCTTGAATCTGTTATTTGATTCCTGATAGGGACACTGTATTTCTGCTGGTATTCACTTGATTCCATTTAAAATAATAATAATAATAATAATAACAACAACAACAACAACAACAACAACAACAACAGAGTTGGAAGGGACCTTGGAGGTCATCTAGTCCAACCCCCTGCTCAGGCAGGAAACCTTATACCATTTCAAACAAATGGCTGTATAGTATAGGTTCTCCTGCTTGAGCAGGGGGCTGGACTAGAAGACCTCCAAGGTCCCTTCCAGCTTCTATTCTGTTCTGTTCTGTTCTATTCATATGAATATAGAATAGAATATAGAATAACTGAGTTGGAAAAGATCTTGGAGGTCATCTACTCCAACCCCCTGCTCAAGCAGGAAACCCTATACCATTTCAGACAAATGGCTGTCCAGTCTCTTCTTAAAAACTTACAGTGTTGGAGCATTCACAACTTTATTTTTGGACAAAGTAGCTGACCAGCAGGTGGTGGGAAACCCCCCCCCCCTTAGATAAACCTGCTTAGTTTTTTTCATTGAAAATATTTGGCTCTTTCAACCATTATTTGGAGAATATATGCACATTCAAAGACTACTTGGAAAGTTTATCAATTTTTAGGATATTAATTAATCATTCAAAATCTAGAAGTATAGACGCCAGTTATTTGAAGCAGAAAGATCCTGCAGAGCTCAAAAACAGAATAGAATAGAATAGAATAGAATAGAATAGAATAGAATAGAATAGAATAGAATAGAATGGCAGAGTTGGAAGGTACTTTGGAGGTCATCTAGTCCAACCCCAAGCTCAGGCAGGAAACCTTATATCATTTCAGACAAGTGGCTGTCCAATTTCTTCTTAAAAACCTCCAGTGATGAATAGAACAGAACAAAACAGAACAGAATAGAGCTGGAAGGGCCCTTGGAGGTCTTCTGATCCAGCCCCCTGCTCAAGCAGGAGAACATATACCATCTCAGACAAGTGATTGTCCAGTCTCTTCTTAAAAAGCTCCAGTGATGGAGCGCCCACAATTTCTGGTGGCAAGCTGTTCCATTGGTTAATTGTCCTCACTGTCAGGAAGTTTCTCCTTAATTCCAGGTTGCTTCTCTCTCTCATCAGTTTCCAACCATTGTTTCTTGTTCTCCCCTCTGGTGCTCTGGTGAACATCCTGACCCTCTCTGCCTTGTGGCAGCCCCCCCCCCAAATACTGGAAGACTGCTATCAGGTCTCCCCTATTTTTTCTTTTCTTTAGACTAGCCAGACCCAAGTCCTGCAGCCGTTCTTTGTATGTTTTAGTCTCCAGGCCTTGGATCATCTTAGTTGCTCTTCTCTGAATTTTTTTTTCCAAACTCTCAACATCTTTTTTGTGATATGGTGACCAAAATTGGCTGCAGTATATTGATATAAAACTAATGGCTGAATGAAGAGAAGGATGAGAGGGGACATGATAGCAGTCTTATTTATTTATTTATTTATGAGACTTATATACCGCTTTAAGTGCAAGCACTCTCTAAGCGGTGTACACCAGTAAGCAATGTATATATATATATATATACTATATATATATATATATATATATTTACATTGCCCCCAACAATCTGGGTCCTCATTTTACCTACCCCGGAAGGATGGAAGGCTGAGTCAACCTTGAGCCGGTGAGATTTGAACCGCTGACCTGCGGAACACAGTCAGCTCAAGTGGCCTGCAGGACCGCACTCTAACTGCTGTGCCACCTCGGCTCAGTCTTCCAATATCTCAGGGGCTGCCCCAAAGAAGAGGGAGTCAAGCTATTCTCCAAAGCCCCTGAAGGCAGGACAAGAAGCAATGGATGGAAACTAATCAAGGAGAGAAGCAACATAGAACTAAGGAGAAACTTCCTGACAGTGAGGACAATTAATCAGTGGAACAACCTGCCTCTAGAAGCGGTGAATGCTCCATCACTGGAGGTTTTTAAGAAGAGACTGGACAGCCATTTGTCTGAAATGGTATAGGATTTCCTGCCTGAGCAAGGGGTTGGACTAGATGACCTCCAAGGTCCCTTCCAACTTTACTACTACTACTACTACTACTACTACTACTACTACTACTACTATTATTATTATTATTATTATTATTATTATTATTATTATTATTATTATTATTATTCAAAAGACACAGTAAAATTCCTCTTGGTTACCTGCTACTCGGAGCCCCCAGGATTTCCCGAATATTTGAATTCCAGCACAATTTGAGTGCCAAGTAGACAAAAGGGATTAAGAGAAGGGAGGGAGGCTAGAAACACTTAAAGGGCATGCATGGATAAGAGAGATAAATTGAAAGAAGACCAAACGCCATCCAACAGGCGAAGGAAACCAATTTCATGCCTCGCTTTTTAAATCTATATCACGATTTGTATGCAACAAATCGCACAGCCGTTTGCTGGCAGGAAGGAACTTGAGATTGTTGGGGTTTTTTAACCACTTTCTGGGCAAGTGAGAGGCTATCTGAAGGCAAACGAGGATTTGCCATCCCTCGTTGTGCAGACCACAATGAAAAATGAAGAGCGAAAGAGGCAAGAAAAACCAGGAAGGGATAAAATGCAGGAGCAGAAAGATAAAATCCAAGACTTGAAGTGATCCTGGTTTGAGAAAATGGATTTTTGGAAGGCTGGACCAAGTTGGTGGTGGGCTTGATTTTTATTTTATTTTTGTTCTGGAAAGGACAGCGAAGAGGATTTTAAAGAGCAATTGATTCCAAGTAGTCCTCAACTTACAATAGTTCATTTAGTGACCGTTCAAAGTTACCGAGGCACTGAAAAAATGTGACTTATGATCGGTTTGTCACACCACCATTGTAGCATCTCCATGGTCAAAATTCGGACACTTAGCAATTGACTCCTATTTATGATGGTGGGGAAAGCAGATCCACTTAACAACCGTGGCACTAGCTTAATTCTGGGACTTGAACTCCCAGAATTCCTGAGCCAGCATGGGGAACTATGGGCCTTTTCTGTCCTGTGGATCTCAACTCCCAGAATTCCTGAGCTAGCATGGGGAACCATGGGCCTTTTATGACTTGTGGACTTCAACTCCCAAAATTCCTGAGCCAGCATGTGGAACCATGGGCCTTTCATGACTTGTGGACTTCAAGTCCCAGAATTCCTGAGCCAGCATGGGGAACCATGGGCCTTTCATGACTTGTGGACTTCAACTCCCAGAATTCCTGAGCCAGTATGGGGAACCATGGGCCTTTTATGTCTTGTGGACTTCCAGAATTCCTGAGCCAGCATGGGGAACCATGGGCCTTTCATGACTTGTGGACTTCAAGTCCCAGAATTCCTGAGCCAGCATGGGGAACCATGGGCCTTTCATGACTTGTGGACTTCAACTCCCAAAATTCCTGAGCCAGCATGGGGAACCATGGGCCTTTTCTGACCTGTGGACTTCAACTCCCAGAATTCCTGACCCAGCATGGGGAACCTTGGCTCTTTTCTGACCTGTGGACTTCAACTCCTAGAATTCCTGAGCCAGTATGGGGGAACCATGGCTGGTTCAGGAATTCTGGGAGTTGAAGCCCACAAGTCATAAAAGAGCCATGGTTCCCCACTCCTCCACCTTCACCCTTGCTTTAAAGAAAGGAAGACTGGATAAGGAAGGGGTTGGTTTTCATCAGCTGACAGGCAACAATTAAGGTCTGAAGCAAGGAAAGGTAAATGTCAGCAGATCTAGAGGTTTCAGGGAGCATCATTGGGTCAAGCATGAGAAGGAAGATGGTGGAGATGACCATCCGCACATTTTGTCAGGCAAGGAGGGAGGGAAGGATGAAAAAATAAGGAGAACATAGCAGCTTTCCACAGATCAGAGGCAAGATCTACCTTGGATTCTAGGAGATCACCAAAATATGACTTTGTGGGATGCTACCAAGGAGTAACTTGAAGGGAATCTGTTTTGGGGTGGAGAGACTTCACTGTATGAGTTAGAGCTAGGGTTAAGGATTTTGTGACCTTCTAGGAAAATATGTAGCAGCTGAGGTCGGAGCAGAAGACACAAAGGTCCAAGCTAGATGTCCTGCAGTCAACCTTGGCTATTCTTTTGCAAGTCTCCCCTTTCATGAAGTAGGAAATCTTTTAGATATCTTTCAACAACATTATCCAAATTTCTTTATTGCTGCAAATGATGGTTGAAACCATGGTGGTCCTCATTCCAAAGGCAAGTGGACTTCCTTATTTTTTTTTCTTTGAAAACGTTTTGCTTCTCCAAGAAGCTTCTTCAGGTCTGAACTGAAGAAGCTTCTTGGAGGAGAAGCAAAATGTTTTAAAATTTAAAATAAAATACCCAAGAAACTCTAGTTGCCATTTGGAAAAGCACTATGGGGACAACCATGACCTGGATGAATTGAGAATCTCCATAGTCAAGGTGGTCCTCATTGACTAGGGGAATGGGAAAGGTCCTCATCTCCTGGTCATTGGCTTGTTGAGTGATTATAAGTGAACCATGGTTGAGTTGTACTCTATGCTGCACCACAAAATCAAGCTTATACACATTTTGCCAAGGGAGGTGCTGGCTGGACAGGCGAGATAAACGCAAGCGTGGTTTTAACAAGAGAGAAAAATTCTAGATACGGTAGCAAAGGGAAGAATTTGTTAGATTATTTTTTTTCCTGATAATACTTACAGGCATCTAAATTTCATTTCAGTTGCAAAACATATCCGGAAGGGGGTACCCAACATGTTCCATAACACAAATCACAACACAGCAATTACTGAGTCTGTCATTTCGACTCCTATAACTGTGTGGTTTATCACAAACAGATAGTCAAGAGTACAGAAAGAAAAATTGCAACCAGCCTGCCTTCCATTGAGGACCTGTATATTTTCAACTGCTCCCCTCAAGATGGCGCTAGAGGGCATCAATTGCCAAGGAAACTAGACCCAGGGACAATTTTTTTTCCTTCACGCCCTCACTCTGCTGAAGATCTAGTTCTCTTAGTCCTGCCTAACGTCTCTATATACATTAACCCATTTAGTGTATTATTCCTGTGGTATTATTTTTTCTTCTTATTATCTTCTGTACTCCTCCTCACATTGGTATTATTGTGATAATGATTAGCATTATTCTGTTGCGTCTACATGAAGAGCTTCTGCACTAGAGATAAATTCCTTGTGGTGTCTAACCCCACTTGGCCAAATAAAGCATTCCATTCCATTCAGTCCACTTCCTTACAACTGCTCATAGAGTGAGATATTAATGGAAAAGTCATATTAAGACATTAAGATGGTTACCTCTACTTGGTCTAATCCAGGGGTAGGCAACTTTGGCCCTTTTATGACTCGTGGACTTCAACTCCCAGAATTCCTGAGCCAGCCATGCTGAGGGGAAAGGGAGAGGTTTCCAAGCTGAGCCATGGGCTCAGGAATTCTGGGATTTGAAGTCCACGAGTCATAAAAGAGCCAAGGTTGCCTACCCCTGTCCTAATCCTCCTGCTCTAAGCAGTGAACCTCCTAGACCAGGAGTAGGCAACCTATGCTCTTTTATGACTCGTGGACTTCAACTCCCAGAATTCCTGAACCAGCCATGCTGAGGGGAAAGAGAGAGGTTTCCAAGCTGAGCCATGCCAGCTCAGGAATTCTGGGAGTTGAAGTCCACGAGTCATGAAGGGGCCATAGTTCCCCCATGCTGGCTCAGGAATTCTGGGAGTTGGAAGTCCACGAGTCATAAAAGAGCCAAGGTGGCCTACCCCTGGTCTAATCCAAGCTCATGTCAAGCTTTGTGCCTCTTTGGTAAAGCTTTTCAAAGAAAAGCCCAATAAAATTCACGGTGGGCTTTAGCTGTCTCAGAGACCAGTTTTCTGCAACCTTGGGCGCTTACACATTCCCAAATGGAAAGATTTGAATTATGTCATTGTTAAGTTGAGGGAGCTCCAACAGAATAGCAGAGCTGGAAGGGATAGAAAAGAATAGAGCTGGAAGGGACCTTGGTGGTCTTCTAGTTCAACCCCCTACTCAAGCAGGAGACCCTAAACCATTTCATATAAATGATTGTGCAACCTCTTCTTAAAAACTTCAAGTGTTGGAGCATTTACAACTTCTGGAGGCAGGTAGTTCCCCTGGTTAATTGTTCTCATTGTCAGGAAGTTTCTCCTTAGTTCTAGGTTGCTTCTCTCTTTGGTTAGTTTCCATCCATTGTTTCTTGTCCTGCCTTCAGGTGCTTTGGAGAATAGGTTGACCCCCTTCTACTTTGTGGTAGCCTCTGAGATAATAAAAGACTGCTAGTATGTCACCCCTAATCCTTCTTTTCGTTAGACTAAACATACCCAATTCCTGCAACTGTTCTTCATAGCTCCAGTCATCTCTTTAGAGGAAAAACCTAATTGAAATTTGATTATCTGAATAAAGCTAAAGAAGGTCAGACCTGCTTAGACTTTTAGTGGGAGAAGCTTCCAGGATTTGACTGGTTACTTAAAAGAAAAATCAAGAAGAGGAAAGTAGAAAAACACTCCCTCAAGAAAAGCGCATGACTGATTACATGTCATCATACAAGGTGAGCTGGACTCAACTTTGGAAGACCTTCCTAATCTTAGTGGAAAGACAAGAAAACAGAATAACAGAGTTGGAAAGGACCTTGGAGGCATCTAGTCCAACCCCCTGCTCAAGCAGGAAACCCTATACCGTTTCAGAGAAATGGTTGTCCAGTCTCTTTTTCAAAACCTCCAGTGTTGGACCATTCACAACGTCTGGAGGCAAGTCGTTCCACAGATTAATTGGAAATTTCTCCTTAGTTCTAGGTTGGTGAGCTTCCATCCATTGCTTCTCGTCCCGCCTTTCAGGTGCTTTGGGGAATAGGTTGACCCCCTTTTCTTTGTGGCAGCCCCTTAGATATTGGAACACTGCTATCCTGTCACCCCTGGTCCTTCTTTTCACTCGATTAGAAAAGACAGGAAGAGAAGCTTCAGGAAGCAGGAGAACCTCAAAGATCTCCAGGAAATCGGATCAATAAGGGGCAGGTCAGGGCTACAGATTCAAAAGCAATACAATTTCACACAATCAGGAAGCGAGGGAGAAGGGTGAATTAAAACAACAACAACAAACAAATTCAATCCCCAAACCAGGTTCATGGTTGATGTCTCACCTGTGATGTGCTCACCTGATCTACAAGCCATGTCCACGTCTTTCTCGAAATCCGTCTGGAAGACAGAGAAAGCAGAGGGAAGACGTGATCAGCAACAGGGAAGGGAGAAAGAAGACTGAAAAGGACAAGATTTGGACATTCCAGCTTTTCAACCCAACTTGAAACCCAAAGGGCAACTGGTCATCTGGGACATTGGTTTGGAGGTGAGATGTCAAATATCGATCAAACCGGTCGGTCCTAGAGGAGATCAACCCTGACTGCTCTTTAGAAGACCAGATCCTGAAGTTGAAACTCAAGTCCTTTGGCCACCTAATGAGAAGGAAGGACTCACTGGAGAAGAGCCTGATGCTGGGAAATATGGAGGGCAGTAGAAGAAGGGGACGACAGAGAATGAGATGGCTAGATGGAGTCCCTGAAGGTGGGAGCTTCAATGGACTCCAGAAGATGGCAGAGGACAGGAAGGCCTGGAGGAACGTTGTCCATGGGGTCACGATGGGTCGGACACGACTTCGCAACTAACAACATGCAATAAAGGAGAATATTTGTAGCTCAGGTTTGAAGGGGAGGGGGTCCTTGGTGCTCTCTGAGCTTGGTGGTTTTCTGGCAGGAAGTTTCAATATCCAACTCGGTAGCATCATCAATGCCAGACTAGCAACATCTTCTTGCACTGATGATGTTACCTAATTGGGTAATGAAATGTCTGCCAAAAACAACCAACCTCAAACAGCACCAAGGACCCTACAATCCTCTTCCTCCTCCTCCCACTTCCCCCTCCTTTTCCTCCCCCTCCTTCTTTCTACTCCACAAAACCCTTCTAGCACTGATGATGTCACCTAGTTGGGTAATGAAATGTCCGCAAGAAAGCAAGCAAGCTCAGAGAGCACTAAGTACCCTATAGTCCTCCTCCTCTTCCTCCTCCTCCCCCTCCTCTCCACAAACCCCGCTCCTTTCTAGCACTGATGATGTTACCTAGTTGGGTACTGAAATGTCTGCAAGCAAAAAACCAAGCTCAGAGAGCACCAAGGACCCCACAGTTCTCCTCCTCCTCCTCCTCCTCCTCCTCTCCACAAACCCCGCTCCCTTCTAGTACTGATGTTGTTACCTAGTTTGGGTAATAAAACATCTGCAAGGAAAAAAAAAACAAACTCCTCTTTTCATCTTACTAAACAAAGTTGAGGCCTAGAAGCTTAAGACTTGTCCTTGGAGAAACGGCTTCCTACCACGTTGATTCTCCTGGAAAATGGGGAGACGGGATCTCATGCGGTAAACGCACTTCCCAAACAGGGTTTAAATGTTATGAAAAGCTGTGCTTTACAAAAGCAGGCAAGGCAAGAGAGGAAAGAAGCAAAGCTACCGTCTAACTGGGCTTGTCAAATATTTTCAGTCAAAGTGGGGGGGGGTGTCAATGGGCTCAACGTTATAGGAGATCCAAACAAATTTGAATTCCACTCGTGGGAAGAATCCAGAGAAATAAGTATTTTGGGAAATATTGAAAAGGCAGAATATATTTCCCCAAAGGAATAATGGAGAAGATCTTTAAAAAAGGCAGAAACGTCTCCACACACACCCAGCCAGACAACTCAGCAGAAACCAGCTTTTAGAAATGCAGATGTAATAATCCATTCAGGAAGGCTGGAGCCTTCCAGCTAGAAGCTGAAGAGATTAGGAAGACAAAGACCCTTAAAATCTACATACTCTACCCAAACTCTAAGACAGGACATAATAGGATTAACCCACAGATGCCAAAGGGGCACACTCAGACTCAGGTCAAAGTACATAACACAGGAAATACAAAGCCTCAAACAGGAACAGGACACAACTCCAAACAAAAGCCCAAGAGGGTACAAAACCCTCTCTCTGCTACATGTGTTCGCTCTTTTTTCTTCCAGAGTCACATTGCTGTCTGGTTCTGCTCTTCAATACACTGCAACCTTCTTTCTAAAGTGGTCTCCATTTTGTTTAGTCCCAGCTTGGACTGGACCCTGATGACGATTTTTCATTCAACACACTGATGTAGTCTTTCTTCAAGCAACTATCTTCCAGATACATCGGACTATAACTCCCAACACCCTGAAAAATTAGCATGGCCAGTGACCAGGTGCTATCCAACAGTTCTGGAGAACATAGCTTGAAGAAAGCACTTGAGGAACATAGGCACTAATAAAAAGGAGCAGAAAGCTTTCATTCATCCTATGTTTGGAAATTGGGGTGAACTGGGACATACATTAATCAATGAACATTATAGGTATCCAAGAAATCTGCAACCTCCAGATGCAATAATATCTGAGTACCAATTCAGATGATTCTTTAAAAAAGATTACATACATTTATGATAATGAAAGCTGTCATGTAGACCTGGGGACCAGCAATGAATGAGCAAGATCACCTTCCTGTCTTGTTTTGAGAATTTCCTGAAAATGGCTACTTGCCAGGGTGCGACAGCATAATCCTGGCCTAGCATGAATTTGTGGCCTGATGAAGCACCTTACGTTCTAATAGTCTTGACTTGCTTTAAGTCTTTTGATGGGTCTGTGTAATGGTAATAAAACCTAATCAAATACATTTGATGATGATGATCAACCAGACAAGCTAAAAGGACGGGATGTTTCCCAATAAAGAATATGGAACAATAGAGTTGGAAGGAACTTTGGAGGTCTTCTAGTCCAACACAAATGGGTGTCCAATCTCTTCTTAAAAACCTCCAGTGATGAAGCATCCACAGCTTCTGGAGGCAAGTCCTTCCACTGATTAATTGTTCTCAGTGTCAGGAAATTGAATATCTCCTTAATAAATTTCCATCCATTTCTTCTTGTCTTGCCCTCAGGTGCTTTGGCGAATAGGTGGTCCCTCTTCTTTGTGGAAGCTCCTCAAATATTGGAAGACTATTATCATGATGGTGATGGTGATGATGATGGTGATGATAATGATGATGATCATGATGGTGGTGGTGGTGATGATAGTGATGATGATGATAATGATGATGGGCATGATGATGATGATCGTAATGATGATGATGATGATGATGATGATAATGGTGGTGATGGTGACGATGATGATGGTGATGATGATAATGATGGTGGTGGTGATGGTGATGATGATGATGATGATGGTGGTGATGATGATGATGGTGATGATGATGGTGATGGTGGTGGTGGTGATGATGATGACGATGTTCTCCATTCAGTTGTGTCCAACTCTTGGTGATTCTATGGGCCAGATCTCTCCACTTCACCCCTCGTCCTTCTCTTTGTTAGACTAGATATGCCCAGTTACCGCAACTCTTTTTCCTGTTTTAACCTCCAAACATTCCCAGCCTGTATGCGCCATCTTGGTATGTGCCATCTTGGTTCACCAGAGCCATGAAAGCTACATCTCTCCTCTCCTTCAAGGCATTTTTTTCCCACTTACCATAAGCTGGGCATGTCCATTTTGGAACGATCCTCCAGAATCTCCGTTGGCTTCTTCCTGACGATCCACCACTCGGCATTTAATAGCATCTTGCACCTAGGGGGAAAAAAAAGTTGTCGCATTAGGCGGAATCAATTTCAAGTCTTGCGCTGCGTGAAATATGGGCTAGGTTGCTAATGAGCTTTGGCTTTCGGGCAATTGCACAGCCATTAAAAGCCGCCATTAACGAAGCTGTAAGGAAAACTTCATAATCGCGGCTGAGATTAGTTAAGCAGCAGGACTGTCGGCTAAAATGGAAGGGAGCTTCCCCTTTGCTGAAAGTCTGCTTTGACGCATGCCGTACATTTTGTCTTTTTCCTCTTTTTCTCGATCACCATTGTCATCATGAACATCAACACCATAAGGAATTAACATTTTTTTTAAAAAAGGCAAATAAAATAGTTTTATTTATTATTAGATTTTTAAAAAGACGTCTGAAGGCCATCAACTTGGAATTTTCCAAGAATGGTTTACAATAGAATAGTTTACACAAGAAGGCTGTGTTTCTATGTATGCATCTGTGAAATTTATAAATATATATTTACTGTTTATCTACTGTATCTCTCTCTCATCTATCTATCTATCTATCTATCTATCTATCTATCTATCTATCTATTATCTATCTATCTACCTACCTACCTACCATCTATCTTTCCATCTCTCTTTCTTTCTTTCTTTCTTTCTCTCTCTTTCTCTTTCTTTCTTTCTTTCTTTTTTCTTTCTTTCTTCTATCTACTTATCCTATGCTTCTATCTATATCTATTTATCATCTATCTTTATCTATCTATCTATCTATCTATCTATCTATCTATCTATCTATCTATCTATCTATCTATCTATCTATCTATCTACCTACCTATCTACCTACCTACCTATCTGTCTACCATCTATCTTTCCATATCTCTTTCTTTCTTTCTTTCTTTCTTTCTTTCTTTCTTTCTTTCTTTCTTTCTTTCTTTCTTTCTTTCTTTCTTTCTTTTTTTCTTTCTTTCTTCTATCTACTTATTCTATGCTTCTATCTATATCTATCTATCATCTATCTTTATCTATCTATCTATCTATCTATCTATCTATCTATCTATCTACCTACCTATCTACCTACCTACCTATCTGTCTACCATCTATCTTTCCATATCTCTTTCTTTCTTTCTTTCTTTCTTTCTTTCTTTCTTTCTTTCTTTCTTTCTTTCTTTCTTTCTTTCTTTCTTTCTTTTTTTCTTTCTTTCTTCTATCTACTTATTCTATGCTTCTATCTATATCATCTATCATCTATCTTTCTCTATCTATCTATCTATCTATCTATCTATCTATCTATCTATCTATCTATCTCCATCCATCCACCTACCTACCTACCTACCATCTATCTTTTCATCTCTCTCTCTCTCTCTCTCTCTCTTTCTTTCATCTATCTACTTATTATCTATCTATCTATCTATCTATCTATCTATCTATCTATCTATCTATCTATCTATCTATCTATCTATCCAACATATTTGAATGTGCTAAATTAGGAGAAAAAATAACCTGGAGCTGATCATCGAATTTAGTGGAACCAGTCTGCCATTAGTGATTTATGTTCCAGTAAATTTCAGACATATGTGGATTTCAAAGATGCCAAGGCTGAGAAACACTGGTTTAAATGATCCACTCCTGTCCACATCATTTAATTTAGGGTTGCCCACCTCCCCCAAATGTTCAGTGTGACCCTTGGCCACCAACGTGTGACCCTTGGCCACCAACATGTGGACCATCTCAACAGAACTGAAGGGTGGAAGAGAACGAGACTCTTATTTAGCAGGCAACATTCTCCCCAGTCCCTCCACTTCCTCCGATTTCCACAAGAACATGTCCTTCTAAAGGTCAGAAGATGTTCTCTCATCATCCATGCTCAAATGCCCACCTCTCTTCTCAGAATGCAGTGAACCATGACAATGACGAAGCCCTCCAAGGAGTCAAAGACTGCAAAGAGGATCTGGAAGAGAGCCGAACGGCGGTCGGTGATGGCCAGCACTGCCGACATCCAGGTGAGGGCCAGCAGAGGAAGGACTACACAGGAGCTCCAGAGGGATGCCCTGGGAGGAGAAAGAAAAAAAAAGGAGAAAGAAAAGTCTCTCAGCTTCTGGACAAGCCCACTACTAATACTGCCTTCACTCACTCGAGGGAGTCCCACCAGAATTCTCCAGGAGGAGTAAGAACATGAGAAACTGGCAGGACAGCTTCAGATGCTTCCAAGCTACAATCAAAGAGAATTACAAGACAGAGAAGAAGACGGAAAACAAAGCGAGGGGACCTGTCCATTAGGCCTACTCAAGTGCGCTCTACCCTTATGCTCAGTGCCACTTTCGTGTATCTTAAAATGAAGAAAGACACAAAAGAAATGCTGGGATTGTTTCTGGCAGCTTTGGAGGAACGGATAGAGAGAGAGGGAGAGAAGGAATGAAAGAGAGGGAAAGAGAGAGAAAGAGAGACAGACAGGGAGACAGATGGAATCCTACTTGTCTCTTTCTCCAACATTCTCCACAGGAAGTTGTGTTTTGCTCAGGGCCATCTCTGTGTGAGTGGATGTGTGTGTGTTTGTGTGTGGGTCAGAAATGTCAGCAAAGCAGGCACAACTACAGAAGTGAAACCACATGCGGGACAAACGTTAAAAAACAGAGGTAGGACATCAATCCCGCCATCTTGATGGACCTTCACTTCACCACCGCTATGTATCTGGCTGTTCCTATTCTTCAGTGTCTTCTTCACTGAAGCCTGATCTGGATTAAATTAAACATTAGTTAAGAGTGAAGGTCACCTTTGGGTGCTAGTGGAGACCCCTTACAGGAGAACAAAGATCAGCAACCTCAGTAAGCTCTATATTTAGCAATTCTAAGAAGTGGACAGAAGAAAGCCAAATAACTTGTTTGATGTTTGCCCTCAAAGGTGAGTGGTCTCAAGGTTTATTTGGTGCTGCTGAATGAATGTTGTATATCCATAAAGCCCAAAAGATGGAATACAGAATAACAGAGTTGGAAGGGACCTTGGAGGTCATCTAGTCCAACCCCCTGCTCAGGGAGGAAACCCTACACCATTCAGACAAATGGTTGTCCAGTCACTTCCAGTGTCGGAGCACCCACAACTTCTGGAGGCAGGTTGTTCCACTGGTTAATTGTTCTGTCAGGAAATTTCTCCTTCGTTCTAGACCCAAAGGCGCTTTTTCACAAGGCAACTAGACTTTCTTGTTTTTCTTTGAAGATGTTTCGCTTCTCATCCAAGAAGCTTCTTCAGCTCTGACTGGAGGGTGTGGAATGGACGGGTTTATATTCCTTGCAGACGGCTGGTCATTTGTGCTCTTTTGGAGAGTCGCTGAGGCCACTTGGAGGTGTGTCTGTGTCCTCAGGGTCACCTGAGTGGTGCAAATGGGTGTGGAGCCTTCTTGGAACTGCTGAAAGGACTGTGTGATAGACTGGAGATAGATGATGACATATCCCTCAACCTCTGTTGAAAGAGGACTGTTCAGTTTTAACACAGATGACCTCATTGACCCTCTTTCAAACAGAATGTGGACTTTGATAAACCACTGTGGCCTCAATGACCCTCTAAAAGGATGCAAATGACCAGCTGTCTGCAAGGAGTATAAATCCTTCCATTTCCCCACCATCCAGTCAGAGCTGAAGAAGCTTCTTGGATGAGAAGCGAAACGTCTTCAAAGAAAAACAAGAAAGACCAGTTGCCTTTGGAAAAAGCATCTTTGGGGCAACCATGATCTGGATGACTGAGAATCTCCACAGATCCTTAGTTCTAGGTTGGTTCTCTCCTTGATTCGTGGATTTTATTTGTGTATTAGTATAATCATAGGGCGGGAAGGGATCCTGGAGGTCTTCTAGTTCAATCCTGTCCAAGGCAGAAGTCCTTACTGGACAAATGGTTCTTCAGCCATTTCTTGAAAAGCTCCAGCAATAAGAGCACTAAATGCTAAAGGCAGTGGTGGGATTCAGCCGGTTCGCACCAGTTTGGCAGAACCGGTAGCTAATTTTTTGTTGCCCAGGCCCAGAACGGACTTCCGGAAGTGGCATCCACGCAGAGAACCGGTTGTTGTCATATTTGAATCCCACCACTGGCTAAAGGTGTAATGGTGAGGTCTCCTTAGATAAGGACAGATAGAAATCAGAATTAAATTTGCTTACAACAATTGTTTAAGAAACTTGGCAAGTTTGGGACCGGTGGATCTGAGCTCCCAGAATTTGTTGGGAGCTGGAATTAATCAAGTATATGAAGTCCTACCTGACAGGGCTAGATATGGAGATAGAGAAAGAGAGAAAGAGAAGAGGACGTAGGAGGTGATGTGAGACAGAAGGAAGGAGATGACTGAAAAGAGATCAGTTACAGAGATGTAATCAATGGCAGAACATAGAAGGTTTCAAGGGAGCTTTGAAAGTTGATGTGAAAAGAGGAGTAGGGACTGGTTTAAAATAGAAAGAGCAGAGAAAAGATATCGTCTATATATATTTAGCAGATGCCTTTTAAGAAGAAGGACCAAGTCTACGGAGGACAGGACAACCAGCGAGTGGAGACTTGAGCACTTAGGGAATAGTCAAAACAAAACAAAACAAAGCAAAAGCATCCCAAATTGAAAAAGGGGCAGAGCTTTGAATATTTTGGGACCACCTCTTGTAGGCACCGCCGGTTTAGAGGAAGA